TAATCCTGGAAACATCAACACATACTGAGTTATTCAATCAATGTGCAAATTAATCTTGTTGTAAATGCTGTGTGTCTTCCAATGCCTCACCTAAATCACACTGGTCGCCACCGAATCCATTCGGACATTGACAAGTGTATCCGTTCATGTCATCAACACATGTCCCACCATTATGACAAGGATCACTGAGACATTCATCTTTGTCTGTCAAAGAACAAGACTAATATATTAATACAACTGATATATTTGTTCTGGTGATATAACGTTAATATACTAACATATTGAAATCCGAAGTTGGTGCAATGGTAGATATTTGTAATATTGAGGATACAAATCTTCTTACAATAATAATATTTTCAACTGACAATATTTTCTAATTTAAGGAATCAATAAAAATATTTCCAGCCCACCAGAATCACAATTGTCTCCTTCCCATCCATCTGCACATTCACAATGATATCCATTCACTCCATCGATACACGTTCCTCCATTGTGACATGGGTTACTCTGACATTCATCTATATCTGTGAATATAATTCATTGTTGAATTGATAATAATGTTTTAAAATGACAGAACTCTGGTAATTTAAAAAATCGATGGTAATATTTCCAGCTCACCAGAATCACAATTATCTCCTTCCCATCCATCTGAACATTCACACTGATATCCATCTACTTCATCAATACAGGTCCCTCCATTGTGACATGGGTCACTCAGACATTCATCTGTATCTGCGAATATAATTCATTGTTGAAATAATAATAGTATTTTAAACAGAGAGAATTTTCGTAATTTAAACAATCGATAATAATATTCGTAGATAACCAGAATCACAGTGATCTCCTTTCCATACACAATTTAGTAAAACAAACTAGTGGTTCTATTTAGCCCATGACAATTCATAAATGTGTAAAGATTTCACAATGTAAAAATAGGAAATACAAAACTCCTGGTTAGTATAAAAATACACGAAATATTCGCTCTAAGTCTGAAATATCGGTGTCGAACTAGAATATGCGAAATAAAGTAAATAAAGTAACCTTACAATTTAAAAGTCCCTGAAATATATGTTAATCTAACTAGTAACACAATCTATGTGTGCATAACCATATTTAAATCGCTTTCCCAGTCCTTGATACTGTCATGTTTGTATATAATTATTTGCCAAATACTCAAACATAACTAAATGAGTTTACCTATACAACGTTTGCCATTTCCTTGATAGCCATCGTTACAATGACATCCATGGACCCCGTCTTTTTCTCCACAGTATGCACTGGGATCACATCTAATGGCCACACAATCAACGACACCATCTTCCCGACAAGTGCAATCTTCGTCGCATTTTTCCAAGGTTATAGTCTCTCCAAACTACACATCAGAGAATAAAGCGTGGATAACAACATGAATTATTGAATTATCACGCATTTGCAGTGAACCACCCATTGTTAAAATGCAAGTTACAGTATCTTGAAACTACACATCAGAGAATAAAGCGTAGAAATAATTTGCAGGATATTCGTAGTTCAATAATTAAATATATAATTCAGAAGTCACGCAACATACATACGATGAATATCAATCCTACCTGAAGATACTGGTCGCCACATTCACATGGACACTGGTTATCTGGAACACATTCGCCCAAGTTTAATAAGAAACCTTCCTGACAGACACATCCATCCACCAAGCGCCTATCGGGACATCGTAATGTGGAGACTGATCAACGCAAGTATCGGAACACGGCGACGTTGCATGAGTATACACACTATAGTCATGACATGATACAGCTAAAATAAATATAATTCTCGGTCAATGTCCGTCATATTCAAACACTGAAAAATGAAGCATGTACTATCTCCGTGTATATTAATTTAGTATATCCCATATATATATATATATATATATATATATATATATATATATATATATATATATATATATATATATATATATATATATATATATATATATATATAGGAAAGAGGTCTTATGTTAAGCAATAGTGAATATACATACGACATAGGTCATCACGTCTCCAATCAACTGAATTCCGATGTCAAGACAGACTTGTGCATATACTTCAGCGTTCATGCACAATCCACCCAGATCTGGTAATTTAGCACATAGATCAAACATACACGATGAGAAGAAATCTTCCGGGTCAATGGCATCGTGGCACACGGCAAATGGTCCTGGAAGGAATAATACACACAAAACATTATGCAACAACGACTAGACACATCTTTGAACAATCTGGAACAATCTGTGATATTTTAAGATCCTCGTGCTAAAATAGTTTTGTAACCCACCATTTTTATCTGTGAACACTGAACACAATTCATGAGCTTCGGTTGCTACGTCGATATCTTCGGCACATGGATTACAGCCACCTGCATGGGAATCACATTCTTCTTCGTTTGCTACCCAGGTATTACCAAACATTGCTGCACGATGGGAGTGTTCCATTTCAGATGGTATCTAGAAATAACAGGTTGTCAATGACATTTATGACTTGTCATTATACATATATGGTTGGAAATATGATCAATACGCCACGTCCTGACCTGAATTGACCTGACCATTACTTACTAGTCTACCCTCAGTGTCAGTGAAATCATCTTCTGGATAATCATTGAAGTTACCACATAGACCTCTCAAACCACCTTTGTACATTCCTGGTGCTTTGACATCACCATGGTGGTAGCCGTCCCACCTAACTACTAGGCCGAAATCAACAAAGACACTCTGAAATGAAAAAAATATCAATTTCAGTTGAATACAAGAATATATCACAAACATTCTGCAACACCCCCCCCCCCACACACAGACATAGCCGCATGATTTGTTTTATGCTTACGATGTAGCTTCCAGTGACTCTCACTTCAATCTCTGGTGATACAGTATATGGCAAAGTAACTTGCTCTCCATTTACTTTCACGTTCCTTCCTCTCATAAGACGAACTTCCTAATGAAAGAAAAATAGCAGTGGTCATAATGAAAGCTCAATACAATCAGTGGTTATAGTTCACAGTTCATTTAAGTTAAGTGGGAATAACATACCTAACCATAGATCTGGTAACAATAGTCGTATAGCGAAATAGGTATACTGGCAAATTGAATTCTATAGTTCGTTTAAGCCGCCTGTTTAAGCAGAGCATACAAGTTTTTTTATTGGTGATATATCTCTCTGCTGTGAGATTTAGTAGGGGCATAAATATATCTATATCTATCTAATTATCTGGACATTTTTTTTTGCCATGGGACTATGGTTTGGCGATATATTGTATCTGTCTCCTGGAGATGAGTTCAGTGACAAATGAGCTGTGATTACTACTGTGGGCTAGGGCGTGTTTTGCAAAGCAATTTTTGTCAGTTATTACACCAAGTGTGCATGGAACTATATTGGTTCCTGATGAAATGCCTTTTGCTTTTCTTCTAGCCTAGAGATGTATTTCAGACAGACAAGTCTGGGTGACACTGTACGAGTATAATGCTAAATCACATGTCATAAGAATAATTGTAATAATGTGAGAGAATGAAAAATATTGGCACAATAAAACGAAAAGATATTTCTTTTCACCTGTCCATAAACTATCACTATCAATTCTTGTGTGACACTTAGCGTTTCGTCTCTTGCTTGGAATGCTTCATTGTTTGCCAGGACTCTAAATGACGTCATCTCATAGGTAGCACTTTCTGATAGGATGTAAATACAGTCTCCCTGGAAGTCATACTTGACCCCGTCATATGTGATATAATGTGGATCGCCCCAGACATAACATACACTGTATTCTGAAAAAAATAATGTGGGAATAATAAGTGAAAGAAATGTGTTTTACTGATAATCACATACACATTACAAACATATAAATATGCAACATGGAATTCAAAGATATGGTGCCCACAGTAAAACACCTCAGTGCACCACAGTAACTGTCCCGGATCTAAATAGCATGTAATGAATGTGAACTTACAGTGATGAGATGATGTTTACCCTGGTTCTTCTTTGGGAAGTTTAACTAACCTTGTTCACAGTTGTGACCATCAAATCCTCGAGGACAAAGGCAGTCATATCTATCCGTACCATCTATACACGTTCCGCCATTTTGACAAGGATCACTGCAACACTCCTCAAGCTCTTTGAAGAAACAATAAAAAAGAAATCCAAGAACTGTATATACAGGTATGTCCCACATGACTGAAAGTTTACACATTAAAATACACTCACCCGTGCAATAAGTGTCATCCACCGGAGGTTCCCAAATAGTATCCTGACATTGCGTATAACCTTTGCCATGTCTCTCATAGCCATCATTACACTCAAATGTGACTGTGGTGTTCGTTAAAACAGGATAGTCGTATTCTTCAACCTGATAACCATTCTCTGGAGCACCAGGATCACTACACGTTGGTTCACATGTAGGAAGCTCACCAAACCATGTACCATCTTTGCCACAAATAATTGCTTGTTCTCCATTCACAACATAGCCATCATCACAGCAAAATCGTACGATAGTGCCAGATGGAACTGGATATGTGTACTCATCAACTTGGTGTCCATTATCTGGTGACCCGGGATCATCACATCCGCCAGCACGACATTCTGGTGGTGGGGTTGTCCATTGTCCATCTTCACAAGTACTTGATGGTGAACCTATCACTTCGTAAAGGTCATCACAAACATAACCAATCACTGTTCCCTCACATACAGGATACTCGTATTCATCATCTTGTTTTCCATTCTCTGGTTGCCCAGGGTCTTCACAAGTAGGTTGGCATGTTGGCACAGGTTCTGTCCACTCTCCATCTATACACATACTTACTACTTCATCAAGACATGTTTCGGTATCAGTGTCATAAAGGGCATAACCAGTATCACAATAGAATGATACTTCAGTTCCATCAGATACTGGGTATTCATGATCTTCATTTTGACCACCATTGGTTGGACTACCAGGATCAGCACACTTTTCTGTGTATAAAGTGTTTTAAGTTAATTAAAATGACATTACTAATTTTTGGATATTACAAAGAACGTGCCCAGAATCAGATACAAATATTTCATGGTGATCCACCATATTTTCGAATAGATTTAGGTAATTTACATCTCCGCTATACAAATTAATCAACTCACCGCTGCAGTTCAACCCATTGCCTTCATAATTAGGTGCATCACAGGTACATCCCCGTATGCCATCCACAATGACACAAGAAGCATTCTCATCACATGTCATGGGTGTGCAAACCAAGCTATGATCTTCTGTACACTCGCATACATCTGTACAGCCCGGGACAACAATGGTGTCACCAATCTATGCACACAATTACATACATTAACATATGGCACAGATATAAAGACACACAAATAACGCATCATCATTTACGAATTCAATGCAATATTGTTATTTTTTTTTACAATACTGACTACGTCACAACATTGTATTAATCACAATAATCATTACGATGGCTATACACATACACACAAGTTATGCATTGTAAATAACTTCACCTGATAATATCGCCCATTCGCTCTACATCCACATTGCAAAGGGTCAGTGCATTTGTCATCATTAAGTACAGTACCATTAGGACAGAAACATCCTTCAACACAGTCTGTCATCAGACAATGGTCGCTAGCTTCGGGTTCTACACACGTATCCACACATGGGTTACCACATTTACGATGAATCATGTTGTTGCCACATTCCAAGGCTGCACAATAAAATATAAATCTGTAATATGGGATTTTTACATGCTATGTGAATCTTACTTAACATATACATATAAATTCTATTATTGCAATGTATTACAGTATTTTTATTTTCTTACGACAGAATTCTTCATCTCTCCAGTCACCCACTTCAACTCCTTTATCTGAACAGTCGTTGGAATATGCTTCAATCACAGGGCAGTACTCGTTGGTAGCACAGTAATCGTAAAGACACGAATCATAGTACATAGTCGGATCTATCACGTCATGGCAGTCACCAAAGTGGCCTAGAATATAATAGAATCGTATAACATCATATAGAAAAAAATCCCATGTGAGAATTCATCAATATCACGATGAGAGAAAAACTAACGTACCGTCAGGGTCGATAATGATTTCACATGTGTCTGTTCCATACCCAGTTGGACATTCAGGAATAGTAGTAGAAGTTGGGTCACATACTTCATGAGTGGCCCAGCTATCACCAAAGTCGTTGATATCATCAGCCTGGAAAATAGAAAAAAAATCATACCTAATCTATCTTATAAATATAACAAACATTAATTTCAATCAACAGCAACACAAACTGACAATATTAGAGATTTACAATTACCTCTTCACCTCCTGGCTTGATGTAACCGTCTCCACCAAACAATCCACATAATCCATTTGATTTGAATTTATAGGGATCAGCTGGTATTTTTATGACAGCATAGTGATAACCATCATAGCTGATGTACACACCGTTGTCAGTAGTTATGACCTATAACACAAAAGATAATAATTATTGACTGTAATGAAAAATTGTGTCTGCAAATAACGTCAGATTGCGAGAATTATTTTCCATCGTCAATTGTCAAGGTGACTCACCACAGATGTACCACTCCTCATGATATGCAACCCTGGCTCTGGAGTCATTGGTAAACGTACAGTTATTCCGTCCACCCTTACCTCACCTCCTTCTTTTAGCGAAATTTCCTAAAATGAAAAATATTGCTTGCATCAGTTATGAATATATGGTTTTAGTAAAAAAAAATTAAGGTGAACATTGATATTTATACTTACAGTGTGAATAGTTGTCATGTTCACTTCTTTGATGACAGTGACGTCCGTGTTTTCTTCAAATGGCACATTCAAAGCGGTGACGTTGAAATTTGGTGAAGCAGAGGAACTGATTCCGACCAGCAAGTAGGTACATGCACCTTGATAGTCGTACGATGCACCACTGAACATAATATAATGGGGATCGCCATATGCAATACATAATCCCCTTTCTAATGGACACAAAATAGGGTTACATGTTAACACAAGTTTCGTCGATGTAAAAGATAATTATACCAATTTTATACATATTTAGCAATATTCTGGCTATCCAACCAGTCGCAGTAACACGTAGTAATTACAAATATATGAGATACAACTATTAGCATCGCATATCGATGTGTGTCATGCTGTTGTTGAGGCATCATAACATTACTAGAAAACCTAGCCTTTGTTTTAAGTTATATATATGTTTACATCCCTACCATTACCTTTAACAGTGACATTAAACTTGCACTTATCCGTAAGTACAGCATTCTCAACTATAGTGTATTCCACTGTTGTTATACCAATGGGAAAGTAATCTCCAGAATAATGTGTAGAAGAAAGAATTGAAGATTCTGTAGTACATTCTGTTACCGGTTCCTCCCAATAGACAGCCGCCGGGCACCATCAGCGTACACAGAATCGGGATTGTCAGTGCATGTTGTAAAACCAGGGGTGTCTGCAAATATATATGATTAAAATTTAACTGGCCAAGCCTTTAATTTTGAGCAAAATTAAATGATGTGTATTGTTGCCAGAAAGAAATCTGAATTACATAAAACGTCGAAATTTTCAGTTACCTGTTGTTCTGAATGTCGTTTCAACGCTATCTACCTCTTCATCGCCAGCTATACTTTTCACCACAAATAAATATGTTGAACTACGTTCTAATCCCTCGGCCAAACACTGGGTGGTTGGGTGTTCACATCCACACAGTAATTCAGGAGATGGGGGTCCCAGTGGATATCCCCATACTTCATAACGTTCGGGTGTGAGACCCGCATCTTGTGCTTCCCATGTGATAAGAACAGTTGTACACGTAGGATAAGTGTCGATCGTTAAATAATCAATTTCTACCAGTACCACTGCAATTAAAACAAGGTATTATTTATAAATCAAATGTTACAATATTCAGAATACCTTTACTCTTACATATTAATAATGTACTTTACATGTACATTTTATTAAATATTTGAATATGTGTGATACAATTTGGTTAATCTATCCGTTCAGAAAATTAGTTAGTCAATTTGGGAAGATCTTACATTCTTCACAGTGGTTGCCTTCAGAACCCTCAGGACAGCTGCACAGATATCCTGTTTCCTGTTCAATACATATTCCTCCATTTAGACAGGGATCTGGATCACATGGATCAACATCGTTTTGACATTCATTTCCTTCATAACCCTCAGTACAGTAGCATATATACTCCTCGCCATCATCACAACACGTGCCACCATTGAGACATGGATCCAGTTCTTGTACGCATATGTCATCTAAGAGTTGGTTAATAAAAACAATGATTGTAGCTAAGTACACAATTCAAATAGTTAACAACGGTTTAAAAATGCTTTTAAATCCTCATCACTTAGCAAAATCAGCTTTCTATATACTCACCACTCACGAGTAGAATACTATCGAGAGCCCCTCCTATCCCATCTAGCAGAACAACCGCAATTTCATACGTAACTCCCTGTTCCACTGTAGATAATGTGTACTCAAGAAAGCCAGATGCTGGATCGAAGAGGGTACTCAGGTCTTCTTGCTCAATTATAAACGTGAAGTTTCCTTCCACAGTCGGTGGTGATATGAAAATAACATATCCTGGCGAAGAGAGTGGATCGCCTTCCACCAGCCAAGTGATCGTGATGTAGTCTATGCATCTTTCTTTAATTGCACCCTCTTGAAAAACGTTCTGGTAAACGACTAGGAAACAATATAGGAGATGAATTAACTAATGTTACAATGACATACATTTAGTTGAAGCCATGATTATCTTGTATTTAAATAATCATCACGGACAGCTTTGAACATTTTGTTTATGTTTTTGTTCAATAATGGGAGAATTATATGTCGGACGTCCCATTGAGGTATGACATTATGTACGCCCAATGTATTTTGTTATGTTTTTAACTGTACACATACAAGTGAACAGACATGGCGACGGTCTGACAAACATACGTCGCTAGAAAACAATTTGACCGGTATTATAGATAAAACTAGTTTTAAATTAAGGTACGATAACTATATCATTCAATTGTTGACTGCACAGTGCTTCGTATCGACGAACTTTCTTATCCCTCACTTCAGACATGCATTTAAATTATAATTACCTTGACACCTGGCGAACACCGAACACTTCTGGATAGAGTCGGCACACGGACTGTGATGACAGATGTTATCAGACACTGTACCTCGACCTTTTTCGTGATAATTTCCATCGGATTTACTTCAAAATGCACAAACAAAATCAACTACTCACTAACACTAATATTAATTTATTGTTAAATTGTGTTATTACAAATGTTAACAAAGGCTATAAGAAAAAGAAACACAAGGCGTCCCAGTATGTCAAAAAACAAAGAGTGCCATACTTTTACATTTGGAACAATATATAAAATGTGTGCAACCAATGTTTTTTTTTAAATACACGTGACCTTGAACACGGGTCTCAACTTATTGCGTGTAATGATTTCACAAAACAAAAATAAAAATTAGTGCGCCGAAAAAAAACAAATGTCCAGGCGTCAATAAATCACCCCCACTAAGTTTGAAAATACATAAACCATGTTAAAATGGATGTACTCAATTGATATTACAAAGTGTCATATAGTTGAACATACGCACTACGCCTATATTAGTACAGCGTTGTCTACGTGTGGACATGAGCCCAGGCAAACTTGTTTCACATAAAAATAATAAAAGATTAATCGACTTTTTGACACCTTCCTTGCGAAATTGTCACACTGTAACAGCGCTGTTTTGTTTGTTTAAATAAACATCAATAATACTAGTTATAGGTATTGTGTGAGTGACAAATAATGACGAGTGTGTGACACGAATATTCACCGAAATTTCACGCAAAATTAAATAATATTCCCATGATAAAAACAATATGTATAGTGTATCAAGAATAGATATGCCTTTTTAGTGGCAATGCAACCCTGTTATTCACTTCTAATCACGTTTAAGTCTTACTAGGGGCAGGAATTAATTACTGCAGCAACTGAATATGTTTTAAAACACAGACAGTTGTTTACGTGTCTGTACATATGGGCGAACGACCAAAGGTTATGTAAGTCCATCGTTATCATTAATTATATATATTTATGTTTCAACCTTTGGATGTACAAAATGGACGTCAGAGTGTACCTGCGATGGTGCAAATAAAATATAATTAACCCATGGAAGGTATTAACCCGACCCTGTTATTTCCTTCTTTCGGACATCGCACTACTGTCCGTATGCGCTCTATCTAGTAATTGTTATCCAAGACCATGTATGATAGTTTCTCTGTTGTGTAAAAAAACGAAGTTATGTCACTTAAACGCGTTTGCACTGAC